GTTCAGGAACATGTCTCTGAGGTGTATCAAATTCTTACCAATAATGTAAAGTTTACAAGAAAAGTCAAATAGCTTCCTTTGCACAGGTTATGACGTATAATTTTCTCGATATTCATGAAAAAAAGAGTTAAAGAAATTAGAGCCCTGTAAAGAGGGGTACCCTCTCTGTACAAAAATAGTCAGATGGTGGCACTCGACCTGATTGAAGCGCCCACTAGTTACGTTGTTATCGCTATGTATTGTGATATTTGCCGCATTGCAAAATCGTCGGCCATATGCCCCGTCTCGGAAATGAAGTATGCATGATTTCTTCCTCTTACGTATGAGGACAAATTTTAAGTCTTGCGTTACAGTCATTGCATAGAAAAGTTCGCCGTACGAGAATTTAACAATAAGTTTGCATATCTAAGTGATATGGGAATTTAACATTAAAGCGAACACGCGTCCTTACTGACCAAGGACAGCGACCATTGACAGAGACTAAAAATGACACTAAAAATCCGAAAATGACACGGATTCTGGAGAAGACTCAAAAAGAATCCTTAATGTTTTACAACGTGACCGGATTTTTGTGCGAATATGCAATGAAAAGAAAAGTTCTGCGTATGATCAAAAATATATTTTTAAATTGAAAATTGAAAACGTTACATGAAGTTATTTTCATACACAGTTTGGACACAACGGCTTTAGTGGCCGCATTTTTCAGGCTAAGCTCCACATGCCATACATCTAGAGTTAGATGGGGTGGGTAAGCTGTAAGCACAGACGAAAAAAGAAACCATCATTGAAAAGACATGAAAAAAAACATTTATCTTAGAAGGTTAAAACGTTTATTTCCTGCCTGCTCATAATCAGACATTTGTCGTGTTGTACTTTGTTAGTTTGATCAATTTGACAACCTGAGAACGTTCTCTTGTCTGGAGAAAAATTGTTTGTTTTAATGACGTGGTTAGAAAAACATACTATCTGTTGCTTTTGTTCTGGAGGTCGTAACACTACTGTTTATTCTTCATATTCTCATTTCTTCTAAGACCATGTTGATCTTGTGTCTTTGACTGCTTTGGTTCCCGCTCCTGATCGTCTATGTCCGTCGCTGCATTTTCCATATTTAGTAGTCATTATTACTCTTCTGCGCGTGTTAATTTGAAGAGCATTAACAACGTCTGCAAAGAGAAACTGTTCACTGCGTTCTATAGCTATGGCAAACTGAAGTTCCACACTGAGTTGTCCTTATTTTATAGGGTTGAAACATTCCTCTTCTCTGCCATGGTCCGAGATGAAATGAAATCTCCACAAAGTTCATCCTGAATGACGTTTATTGTTGGAACTGGTAAGGTATTGATTAATAACTCTTTCGAGGGCAGTATTGCTGGCAATGCCAGTGAACAAACATTTAGGGCTCTGGCCTTGGAACACATGCTCTTGGATTGGAGTCTGGTGGTAGTGCTGAAGGCTTTGTCGTGTACTCATCGTATGGGATCCTCAGATGTTCTTTTGGTCAAAGCTTCACCGATGCCGTTTTTTTGGTAAGACGTCGACATGTTGCACATATAGTAGAGTCTAGCTACTTCAATGCTTGTTATGTATATTGTAGCACGAGACATTATATGTAGAACGGTGCAACTTCGATCCAGTCCCAGACCTACAACCATTTGATTCAAGAGATATTTGTCTTGAAACATCGGGTCCAAGTGCTTACGATTCATCAAACATATTTGAACTATGCCTTTGTCTAATTTTCTTTTTTCCTTCGTTAAATCAGACATTAATGTCATCGTAATCATCAGAATTTAAATGTTCGGTCGTACTTCTTTCGACTGAGAGGCTAGGACTGTGTTTCCATCAAAATATCCAACAAACTCGGAAAAATCCATTGTTATAATATGAGAACGTGGAAGGTAGTCTATCTTCATACGTCTGTTTCTTTCATTGAGTGTCTTGCCAAACTCATCACGGACGTTAACAGAAATCGTATCGACGAGATGTCAGAAACAAAATAATATCTTTCAGGAAATGTTCAAGTTGTACAGATTCAATATTGTTTTTGTCGTCGTAAATACCAATCTATTTTATAAACATCATTATCTCATTTACTAGTTTTGTTTTTCTACGAAGAATCTGGTTTGATCTCCCTTGATATTCAAGTCTTGAGACCTGTGAAGGATATTTTCCCAGTGGCGAAGGAGAATGACTTTCCAATGGTTTCCGACTAGTGGCTGTTATTTGAGTGGCTGTGCTGGAGTTTCCGTGGCTCTAGTTGTTACTACTTCCGGTATATTTTAAAGATGGATTGCGAAGCCATGTAATTGCTGAGTAAAGTAATCCACCGTTGAATTCCCCAGGATGCAAACTAAAGTTTCCAATGCAACTCGAATGACGAAATACACCAACGAAAATCTGACAGAATACGTTATCCACAACTTAACCTGATGTTGTTTTGTTTTATGTAGTTCATTGAGTGATAAGGCTGAAGGTGAGATAATGTTTTCTGGCATGAGCATTACTTTGTTCTTAATTGTAGTCACCGACTTGGGTAGATGCAATACAAGAATTTAAACTCGGTTAATACGTTTTCCAATGGACTTTAACTTCTTAGATTTCCAGTTTTAGTGTTCTTTTATCAATAATGCTTTCAATGTCGTGCATGTTGTTGTCTTTTTTAGTCACTCGTTCTAACTCAGACAAGTACAAAGGTTCTTCGTTCATATTTATATTTTCTATTTTATAGATAGGTTGGCTACATCAATAAACGCAACCAGTCAAGAGAAACATTTCCGTAGTCCAGCTTGGTAAATGTCCTTTAGCAAACATGTTTTATTTTACCTATACGAAAACGTGTTTAATGTTTCTTGCATCATGGATGTCTCAGACTTCCGAAAACAATTGATCAAGCACTGCCACTTGTTCAAATGCACATTTGACACTGCAATAGTAGAGTTGGTTGTAGGCTTTCACCAGACTTGTGTTGGAGAATATATCAATGTGTAAATATTTATACATACATATATTTCAAAATCCTTCCAAAACTTACCACAGCACTCGCGTTGGCTTCATGATTTTCTTGGTGAAAATATGACTGCTGTTTTATTTTTTTGGTTTGAAATTACTGATTGAAAAATTTGGTGCTTTTGTCTGTTTCCCATTGCAGAAGGTGTCGATCACAGGGACCACCCAAACTGATTTCAAAACTCCTCAGTTTCACCAATGAAATAATTTTAACCTCGATTGTACGAAATCAAGGGAGCCCTGGGTAGCCCCGGGTGGCTGAGTGATCTAGTATCTAGTTTTTACTGATCACTGCCCCCTCACCTCTAGCCGACTGGCTTTGAGTCTCAGGCTTGGCTTATGTGGGTATGTGAGAAATCTTGCCAGCAACTTCCCGTGGGTGGATCGTTCTTAACGGGGTTTTCCCTGCTTCTTCCATCACCATTTATACTGGACTCCATGTATAGTCTATCTGGTGCTGAAAAATGGCATTAGACTTGAAATACAGCAAAAAGGCCAAGTAGGAAATATCCGCTTAGTCTGCTTACTACTGATGATCGATTCCTGCTACTTTCATATGATTTCTTGGAGATTTGTGTCCATCCGGTTTGTGCAACATGTACGACTATTATTATTCTTCCAGCCATTTTCGTATATACTGGAGGCGCACATATTTTAGTCTTGCTTTGACTGCACAATACAGTTTTTAATTCCTCAGCAGCCAGCAGTATGGGGTGGTTTGTAGTAAATGCTAGTCAAAAAATGTGTCCATACTGCTGTTTAATAAGTAATGCATTTGATGATATTGGGTTCTTGTTACATTTTGGATTCCAATTCTTTACAGTGTCTGAAGAGCAATGGGAGTGGACAGAAGTCACTGTTATTTTGTTTGTCACTTGTATTCACTCCGGACTTCGCTTCTTTCTTTTATTTTCTTCGCCTGAAAAGAACGTCGACATCATCTTTTGATCCAAGCTTTCATTTCTTTTCGATTAAGTAAAGGTGTGAAAGTTGCTGAAAATATTTGGAGAAAAGATTACACAGGAGATTATGTTTGGTAATCTAACTCTTCTCATCCTTCTTTCTTCTCCATTCCTATGGCAGTGTGTGTCGTAGTCTTTAAAGTTGCTCTTCTTCTTCTTTGATCTTCATGCAATTCTTTAATTACACAGTTGAAGACGATGCAATATTTGTCCGTACTCTTACGACATTTCCGTTTTTGATAACTCTGATCAATTTATGTAAAAGTGTAACTCTTGTTCTAAGTGTTCTCTATCTCCGTGAGATTAAGGACCAGTGATAAGCGAGTTCACCTCTGATCAGGCTTCTTTTGGAGTTTCATCCACCGTATATAAGAGACTATGGTTAATTTTCGTCCTTCCATCAGTTCAAGTGGTATTGATGTCGTTTAGGTACCGTCCTTTTTATTTTCACTTCAACACTCCTCGTAAGACAAGTCTTGTTATCACTTCATAACCAGTCACAAGGTTACCAAACGAGATTTACATCATCGGAGGAAATCATTTGTACTAAACGGGCTCTCTCTCTCTCTCTCTCTCTCTCTCTCTCTCTCTCTCTCTCTCTCTCTCTCTCTCTCTCTCTCTCTCTCTCTCTCTCTCTCTCTCTCTCTCTTTCTTTAATTATAATTTTCGTTTTTCACCATTTGTCAAATGCTGTTTCGCTGGTATCCTAATAGCCGTTTCTGTCTTTTCATCAAAGAAGTCATTCCTTTCAATATGTTAAAACAAAATTGATATATCATGTCGATTTCTTTAGAGCTTTGGAATGATTTTTTTTTGCATTGGTGCTTTCGCTTTGGTGAGCACCGAAAATACATACCAGTTTTTGTCCGAATGAGGAAGAATTACATTTTTCTTGACTTGCGGAATTTTTGGACAATTACTGAAAACTCTAGAGGGAGGACATCTTGTCCAAGGAACTGAAGATACCAAAGCCCACATTTATTATGTATAGATAGGTTCGTCCCAAGTGGTTGTTGGTACCAAAACTGCTCCGTGGCCTAGTGGTTAGAGCGTCCGCCTCGGATGCAGGAAATCGCGGGTTAGAACCCTGACCAAGCCATACCAACGACTTATAAAAATGGTACTAACAGCTGCCTTGCTTAGCGCCCACCATTAAGAGGTTAGTGTTAGGACTGGTGGTCGACATGGTGTCAGGATAATATGACTGGATGGAGCATCATGCTACATGTCTGCGGCATTATGCCTCAGTGCCATACATCTTTATTAACTGACACACAGCAGACATCGTAGCGATATGACTGAAAAATCGTTCAAGCTACGTTAAAAATTAAAATCACACACACACACACACACACGCGCGCGTCATTCCAATCTGGCTTTGGATACTGGCAAACGTAAATATCGTGGTGTTCTCAAAGGGCTAAATTGAGTTAGCTTTTTTTTTTAAAACAAATCCAGTAAAACTGAACACTACTAATTTATTCTTAGGATTTTTACGTTTATCTACTTGTGTTTGGCTTTTGTTAAGGATTGTAGCTTAACTTGGTCTTTTGTAAACAACATACCGATTAATTAATTTTTGACTAGATCGTAGTTTATATTTTAAGATACCTATCTCTTGTAGATAAGCATGTTTATTTGGATCTGAGCTTAGGACATTAGATTTCCTCTTGGCAATTTCTTGTCAACCTAATATTTGCCATGTCTTTTACTGAACTTTTAGTATAAAAAATCCTGGCCTTGTTCACAACTTAGAATATTTTAGAAATGAACATTTGACCTTCATACTGGTCCTCTAACAGTGTCTTAAGTTTTTATATACAATTCATTTATATCATAATCATATAGATCTTTTTTGAATCAGCCTTTAAGTTGTGTTCAGTTTTAATTTAAGAAGATTTATTTTTAATTGTTCGTTGGAATTACAAGGTGTTCTTTAATACTTTCGGACTAAATCACTGTTTTGGGATTATTTTGAATCCATTTAGAGACATTCTGGATTATATCATTATGATACATCAAGACTGTTAACGCGTCAACAATATTCCAAGTTATTGGTATATTCAAGATTGGAATTCAGAACACCAATGGAATTCATTCGAAACACTATAATTTTGAACTTGTGATATAACTTTTAGGTCTATTTGGGATTTTGTAAATTTTCATATTTGTTTATTCCTGGAAAATAAAATTATTTGTTGAATTTTGCAAAACTTGTTGGTTTCCGCTCTTTTCTGTCACTTACTTTAAGATCACACACACGTAATACTTTGATTAGGATTATAGAGTAGTAACAGGGTGGTGTACAATCATTTTCCACCAACAGTAACCATGACAGCAGATGAAGAAGTAGGAGAAGACATTTTAGAGATGTGTGTCCATGACACGAGGCGACTTCAACAAATTGAACAAAACGTGTCATAAATCAGGTTTTGATGGCCTTATCAATACAAGAGAGGAGAAGTAGTATTGAGGAGTCCTTGTGTATGTGCGCGTTCTATCGACAGTAAATTTTCTTCTTGGGGGTGAAGTCCATGACTTCATTTTCGTCTTTGGGAGAGATGATTTTAGGTGTGAACCCAAAGCAATTCTTTTCTTTGTCATTCTTTTGATATTTGGTTTTGGGTTTTGCCTTCTAGGTTTTACTGGAATCCTATCGTATTAGCGAATAAATAAGGACACCTCTAAGAAGCGACTTCCACACGGTTTGAAAATAACTTGTCTCGTGATTTGAATAAAAATGTGACTTTTGATGATGAATGTGCATGATTCCTTGTAGTAACTAATGAGCGTCGAAAACGGTTACACACCTCTTCCAAACTTGCCTCAGTAAATATAACACAATTGAGCATTAAGGCTTTCTAGTACACGAATTTATTTTGCAAGAGGACGAGATGGGAAGGAAGTCTTGATACGTAATGTCTGTGGTGTTGTTTATTTGTTCTTCTTAAATTGGACTAAAGTCATTAAACAGTTCGAACAAAACTTCAAAAATAATCTGGTGTAGTAGGTTTTAAATCGATTTGTAAATTATCAGCGATAAATCTTTAGTATCGTCATAAACATAATTCAGCAGAAACCATCCTGATTCTTAATCCAGCACCTTGACCTGATATTTGTCTCTAAGACTTGTCAGCAACACCTGGACCTGAGATTTGTCTCTAAGGCTTGTCAGTAACACCCGGACCTAAGATTTGTCTCTAAGACATGTCAGCAACATCTTGACCTGAGATTTGTCTCTAAGGCTTGTCAGCAACAGATAGAACTGAGATTTGTCTCTAAGACTTGTCAGCAACACCTAGAACTGAGATTTGTCTTTAACACTTGTCAGCATTACGTAGAACTGAGATTTCTCTCTACGACTTGTCAGCAACACATAAACATGAGATTTGTCTCTAAGACATATCAGCAACACAAAATGCCGGGAATTTAGACTGATGATAATATAGATTTTGCTTAAATCAATGTTGGGTGAAGTAAATAGTCCTTAAGGTGTGGCAATGTTCTTTTCGTGTAAACCAAAGTTTAATAACTTCTTCATTTTCGCCGATGTCATCGATGACGATATTCATTTAACTAGTTTCAGAATAGATTCAATCATCAACGCGATGACTACTGTCTACACACGATGTTTCTCCATGACTTTCTCTGAGTAGCGAGAAAGTCAAATGTTCTTTTTCAACACCAAACAATGCGTATTATATTGCGATGAAACAATGCTTTTTTACTTGATCAAACGTTTGACAAAGTCGGTCTTGCCTGAACTACCAGGTCCAGCAATCAAAATGCTAAAGAATGGCGAAGACAATGTGCATCACAACTTTGAATATCTGGCCCTCCGCCAATTACTTCCGAATGGAAGATATAGATAAACCTCAAGACTGGTTTTGAAATACTGAGATTAAAGCAAAGGAAACGAGACATTTCATGCAGATACGGTTATCAGTATCAAGGTAACGGGCGTATTCCCCATAACTGTTCCAAACATCGAGTACAATTTTAGATTGTCAAACTCGTTGGCACACTCGGTGTCCTCTTCGTAATTCAACAAGATCAAATCTTCACGTATGATTTTGAAGAGTCTGATGACATTTCTTGAAATGTTTATCATACTGCAAAAACAGACATGGATTCAAGTATTCGATCTGTCGTCGACATTATCAAGCTCTGAGAGTTTGTTTCTGCCCCAAACAGTTCATCATGACCAAGCAAAAAGGAGGTCTTACTAAATTCATCTCGATGTGTTCCAACTCGATACCTTTTATGCACTGGTACTATCAAATAGCGACAGCAGATCGCGTTTTGTTTTTAAAAAAAATCAGAAAGTCATTGACGTATTATGAACAACATTCCCTATTTAATCCACGTCGTCCTGGTATTATTTTGTGGTAGACAAAGTTTTGTATACTGTTACAGAGAGTGCCATATTTCCACACCCAATTATGTCCCGGTTAATGCGTGATCATGCTCCTCATAACTACAGAGTTCATAATGATTTGGCATTTCAACAAACGTTCAACACATTGCAAACATCACTGTTCGGCTATATGTCTGTCTGTGGAAGAACCTTACTTTGAACTGGCGAATGAATTCGACGGTTATATATCCTGTCAAAATTTGTAGATGACCTGTTGGAAATAATATACTTACAGACACAAAGGTACAACAGACACAGAATGATATACATGCAGTTTATTTGCTCTCCTTGAGATAGTCCTCTTTCGCAGTCAAACATCTTTCTACGCATGTACAAATGTGTTTCATTACGCATACGCAAGATTTTTCTCTCATTTTTAACACTTTTGACAATCCACATGGATTCGACTATTTCTATAAAAGTTTGGGTATTTTAGTTTTTGCCAAATTCAGTGTCAGTTTCGAAATAGTATTGTTACTTTTCGTCTCGGCTATTTTCATAAAATGTATTCCGGGTTTTATATAATCTCAGCAAAATTCCCGTTTCCGTTTCAGAATTTTATTAACTATCGATGTATGCCGGATTCTGTGTTAAATTCCTATAGGACCCGACCCACCGGTTAAACTCTCAAAGGGTTCCATGGTGTCATTAAATGTTGAACCTATAATTTCAACATCAAATTTATTTCCATGAGGTGCATAATGTAATAATTTCAAGATGAGAGAAAAATGGACCTTCTCCCCCACATAGCATTATCAATAATTATTGGTATTCCCAAAGATGGATTAACCTCAAACAAAATACCTTGTCAGTGAAATACATTCTTCTCGCGTGTATCGACTGCCACTCTTTGATACTGATGGTTCTTGATGTGTAAACTCAGTTAAAATACTGTATGATGATGTTTCACCTGCACACTTATTAGATTTCTTTTCTAGAAAATCCATTTAAAAATTAACACTTTATTCTAAGGGTGTTTTATTGTTGTACTTAATCTTTTATTGCATAACACCTTTAAATGTATCAGCTTTACCTTTTATATATTATTTTGTAGGACTATATGTTTACGTTTATTGGAAGAATTTATCTTCCAAAAGTTTTTTGTCCTTTTTTGAATGTTTATATTTTCAATACTTAACTATTAAAGGTAACTAATAATCCATTATTGTGCTGATGTGCTGGTACACATACGTGTATTTTCCTTACGCTGCGTCGATTATGTTGTCCTTATACCTCCGTGTTTGTCGCAATCAACAAATGTATACTGTACAATTTTAACACGCGGCATTATTATTATATATATATATATATATATATATATATATATATATATATATATATATATATATATATATATATATATATATATATATATATATGCGTTAAGAAATTGAGCCATTTCGTAAATAGGTTTTGATTATATGATAATTTTTCTGTCCCTTTTTAGAGCGAAATATAGTCTGCACAAGATACACCGCTTTCAATGAATTTGTTTACTAAATAAATAAATGAACAACACCCTCGGTCCGTAAGATTTAGTGGCAAGTGGAAAAACTCCAATGAGGTTTCATAATTTGTATTCAAGCCAATATTTACATTGTGTTGTTCCAAGCGAGAATCTTTCTTTAAGATCTTGTCATGTCGAGGTTTTATTTTCAGTAAAACTGGATCTTCAATCTAGA